TAGGTGTGTGGCTCAGGAATTTTTACTTGGCTGTAGCTGGAATACACTGACGAAGTTTACTATGGAAGGTATTGCTTCCTGGTACTTGTCAATGTAAAAAAAGACTTTGGGAGTCAGGACAAGAAAATCTTATTATGTCATTTAAGTCTCTGAGGACCTAACTACTGCCTTTTCCACATTTATGTTCTACTCCTTCTGTATCTATGTAATGTCTCTGAAATGGGGAAATTACATCTACCCCCTTTTTATTTATCACATAATCCAAGTGCAGAGACTGATACCTAGGTTCTCAAAGTCACTCACATATATACATCTCACTGATATGAGAAGGAAATCGAAAGTAAAATCTTCACCTACATGAATTACTGCAGACATCATAGTGATAATCCATGCAGATGGTCATATCACACAGCCTTTCACAAAGTGCTTACCCAATTGGTCACTACTGATATATAACTGCATTTTATCAGGGCTCTGAAATGGTAGACACGTTCAATGTGATTAGAATGAATAATTCTGAGTTGTCCAGGGAGCACTGTAACAATGACCTGCTGCTCACCACCTTCTGAAGGTAATTTCTTCAGAGGCCACCTGTAAGAATCTGTGACACCCCCAGGTGACTCACATCTAGCAGCCAGCAGCTGAAACCTTCAAAAGACTCATGTCTCTAGAATGCCCTTCCTGCACTAGCAAGACATAAATATAGCTGTCTAGTATTTGACTTACCTGAATTGCTGTACCGATACACTGTAGTCTACAGATTCTGACTTTTTACCCTTTCCTCAGTTATTACTACTGTTGAGCATGAGACACTTTGACTCAACAAGCCAGAATGTGCAAGGTTTTATGTCCTTATGCACAACTACACCTTAAATGATAACAGTGATGAGAAAATATCCAACCACGGGGCACTTCATTAGACGCTAGGCTGTGCATTCAGAAGCTCAACCACCATTACCAGCTAGACTCTAGAAGGAGTGAATCCAGATTCCTCTCCTATCTCTGGCACCTTAGGTAGGAGGAATTTCGACCACAAAACTCAGAACATTTGATCTATGTGACATGCCTGCCACACACAACCTCTTTCATAACCTTGGTATTTAACTACCAGCATACATGGTCATCTGTGCAGACACTGAGAAAATACACACATGACCTGTGCATTTTCTTTTTCTCCTAGAGAGAAGTGAATGAGGTGGGAGTGAAGTATTAATTGAGACTCATAATTCTTGACAGATGCTAGCGGAGTTCTTAATCACCCAAGATGGCCAGAACATTCATTACCTGACTTGGGAAATCACATTTTTTCAACAACCACCTGCTTCCTTGCAGATTGCTTTCCTTCTGTGTTTGCAGAATTATAGTAGGGTAACACGGAGAGAGGGTTTAGGGCTCTAAAGGGAAAGCCCTATTCTGTCTGCCATGACTTTCTTCATTTAAGGCAAAAAAAGGGTGTAAGTTGCATAATCCTTTTTTTCCTAGAGTTAAATGGGCTGTGAACAGTAGAGTAGCAACTACACAGGAGCAGCAAACAGCCAACTTCATAGGGGACAAGTCTCAGGCTGTAAGTACAATCTTGGAATATGCAGAACAGTCTCTGAAGATCCACTTTGAACTTTTCTTCTATGCATAACATATCATACCTGGACTGCTATTTGTTTGTGAGAACAGGCAATGAAAGTGCATGTATCACTTACTTGGGAATTGCAGTGGAATAAGACCATAAAGCTCTGGTTTGTCCTACCCACTCACAGAAGTGCTGATGTCCCTCTTTCACAAAGGTCAAGGCAAGAATCTTCTCCTCTGCCCACAAAGAGGGACACTAAATTTGCATTTCAATATAAAATTTAGAACATTAACTCATCATTAACATTAACTGCCCGATTGTATGATGGGAATTATGAGTTTGATATCTTTGCTCTTCCCCTGCCTATGACATATAAAGCTGTACTGCATTCTCAAGGGAAAATCAGGAGGGAAATAAAGCTGATTTATCTGTGTACTATAATCTCAGCATTCAGCAATGAGTTTTTAAAAGGCAGCAGTCCCTGGGAAGGGAGACCAGCACACAACTCTGTCCTAGGACAGTCTACTACATTTCTGAAATCTCTGCATATGCAATCCCTGTTCATCAGAAACACCATAAACAAAATAGTTCAGTGTGTTCTTTTGCTGCCATATTTTCTGTGCCCTAGGGGGAGATCATAAATGCTTAACTTTGGTTATATGATCAAGATCAGAAAGGAAAAGATATCCTGGTAACGGACACAATATCAAAGCCACGAGATATATGAAATTGATGGCTTTTTGCAACAGTGTGACAAATTCTGTATTAGAACATCACCCCTACCACACAGAAGCAGAAATATAACATGCCTTTTTGTTAAGAGATTGACCATGTTTAATTATTCATTTTTTTCAGTAGCTTAGCCATGTATTCAGTTAAAGAAAGTAATAAACAAAAGTGTTCCAAGTGAGGTGATATTGTCTTTATGTTATTTTTAAATTGTGATCAGGTACCTGTGGGACATGGAAAACTAAAATTAAACAAAGTACATAATCTTTGCTTTTCTAACAAAATTTAGCGCCAAATTCCGCTCTCAAGTAAATTTCTATGAAGCTTTGTCCATAACGGCATTACACTACAACGGTCTATATCTGGGTTTAAAAAGTGCAAAACCTCAGGAGTTGTGCTCATGTCTCCAAGGCTCAGCACATACCAGAGGGAGAGCAGTTGCCTGGCTCTAATACACACTGCCCCACTGACCCAGTGGAAGCAGTCACAGCATTGCCCAACTCCAATAAACTGATTGGATGTCAACAGATGGTAATTTGGCTACATTTGTTTCTTGACTTCAATTTGTCTGCTTCAAGGAATGAGAGCACAATTTGGCTCCTTTCTCAGTGAAAAGGAAGACAACCAAACATGACTTTCACCAGGCCTCAGCTTCTGGCCCCAGATTTCAACATACACTATTACAGCAATCAAAAAACCATAGAAATCACTTATCATTTTACTGTTCCTTAACACATTTCACACAGTCCTGCAGTGAGCAGAATCACAGATGAACCCCAGGACATACAGAGAGCACAACTACTACACTGGACATGAAAAGGAAATTTTATTAAACATGTTTACATAACATGAGCTGGAATTTCATTTAAAAGCACAGGGGAGTGTTAAGACAAGTGGTTGAAATAGAAAGATACTATCGAATTATAACTAGTTGGTTTCTGGCCACTAAGACAGAACAGGATCTAGTAGTAGTGCACCAGTTCTTGAGTTCTTCCTGCTCAGCAGGTCGAGCAGTAACCAATCTGTGTCCTATGGAAAGATGGGCAGAGTAATTCCCACGTGTTGAGTAATAATAAATAGTTCACTTGGTGCAGGCAGTATGTCTATGGATTAAAACCTGGTGTGTACACAGTTTCTACATGTGTTACAGCCCCACAGTAGGAATCTACACCAAATAGTTATTAGAAGGAATTTGGTCCATACTACATCACGTTTTCCATAGGGTAAAAAATAAAGTCCATCTATAGACATTTAGCACCAGACTCACTGACCTAGCCTGGCTAAAACCTGCAAAATGTCTATAAGAAAAATGGATGGCTTAGATTTCTTGGTTACTTCAGTATAGTAAGTACGAGCAAACTGTACAAGTACATGCAACATACAAGCTGGCCTATGTGGAACTAACATACATTATTAAATAACCTTTTTCATCTCTTTTTACAAAACGTGCATGCAGCTTTGAACAGTTCCAAGTCATGCTGCTCTATTTGTGTGATCACAAAATTGAATGGCCTGTAAAAGGAGGGGAAACATATCAATGCACCTGCAGGAATCTGCAGTTGTTCGCACATTTACAGAATATCACAAGGGATTTCGAGGCCAAGAAGAACTCAAATGAATAAAAAGCAAATTGAAATTTGAATTATTATTTTTTTTCTCCAAAAAAGTAAGATATCTTGCGTTAAAAAATCAAGCCTTGTGCTTGCATCAATCTCAAAGAAATGTAAACTAAAATTTGATAAAAACATTAGTAAGTGCAGAATATTTCAACTGGAATTTCCAGTGAAACATTGAACAACTCATACCATGCTCTATCCAGGGCAGACAGGTGCGTCTGAAGCGACACACATCAGAGAAGCCTGGGTACAGCTGAAAGTGTCATATGCTCAATCCATTCCTGGTCAACATTTTGGGAAGTCAAATATACATTTATACACAGAAATGTAAATATTTCCTCTCCACTTCTAGGAGGAAAATTGCATTACCAGTAACATATTCAATGTCAAAATTAAGACCAAAGCTGCTTTTACCAGTCCCCAGCAGTAGTTGCAGAATTCTTCAAAATTCTTCCATGCAAAACATCACCAACATAAAAGTTATTATATATAATGCAAACATATCTGCTTTGTACAAAGAAAAAGTGGTACCGTGATGATTATTTATTTTTTGAGAATCTAACCTAGGTTGGTCATTTGTTCTGGGTCTCCACGTGAGCGACTTGGAAGTACCAGAACTGAGAAACGATTTGAACTAATTGCTGGAATTGTAACTGTGGCTGTTTGTTGAATACTTTAACGATGCTTACAGAGATATGCTTCAGCCCTTTTTTGGTTGGTTTAGAAAAAGAAAGGAAGGGTCTCTGTTAGCGTTGTGAGGACTTCTACAAAACTAGCGGAATCACATGGCAAAAAACTAGTGGAAGTGACAAGTACAGAAAAAAACCTGCTGAAACACCAGGAAGGTAATGCTGCTTGGGGGCTCTGTCAAAGTGCGAGAATTACAACATCGTTAGCAGAGTGAGAGCTTCTCGGGGGCTCTGTCAAAGTGTGAGAATTACAACATCGTTAGCAGAGTGAGAGCTTCCAGTTTGGGTCATCTTTGACTTAGGTCGAATCTAAAGGTCTCTCTCTCTCTTTTCTTTTTTTTGTTTGGATCATTATAAGCATCTGTGGTAGCCGCTAATAGATTTGCCGTATAAGATATACCTTTGTTCTGTCAATTAAAGCCATCTCTAGACAGACAGACATATGTTTGGATAACTACTACAAGCGAAAACAGAAGTGATTGTCTCTCTCCAACAGTGTTTTTTGATCATGTGAATATCTGGTTCCAATTGTTATCCTGGATGATGTTTTTATCAGACAGCACCTGCTACTATGATCTAATACAGGGAGGCCCGGTTGAACTTTCCAGAGATGACTGAGAAGCCCTGCGCGTCAGGGGAGTCAAGGTTGGATCCACTAGTGATGAAGGTGGAAATAATTTATACCAGCCTATTACCACACTGGACAGATCCAGTTCCTCCAGAAGGATCTGGGCAACTCCCATGAAGCATTTGTGGTCCATTCGGCCATAGTCTCCCCAAACTATTACCTGGAAGAACATAAAATACAAGTTCAGCATTGTCCTCAAACCCTCACTTATACGCTCACCCCTGCTAAGTGCAGCGTAAGGAAAATGTTATTCTTAAGGGTGAATGATTGCTCCCTCTTGTGGGAAAACCTAATGGCAGGACAGGAGCAAGAGTCAACAAAAGAGAAATGTTTAATACAGCCAGACATTTTGCAGGTCTGAAACCACAAGCCACAAGGATGTGTTCGCTGGCATTTATAAAATTAAATGCGTACTGAGTTGGAATAGGTTTACATATATTGCTTAAACTTAAGTAAACATGCAAGCACTTCTCCAAATGGTAGCCTAAAATGGGATTGAGAAGGAACTGACCTGAAGGACTTTACCCTGTGGACTTTCATCAAAAACCAGTGTCTGCTGGTACAAAGGATCAAGGGTCTTCCGTGCAATTCTTGTCTTCTTCTTAGCTATACATGCTCCATTTTCCAATAAATACACTTTGACATATGGAGCTGCAAACAGAACATCATGAATTTTATGTTTGGACTTAAAAACTTCTACATTGCCCATCTGAGCTGGAGGACAAATGCCTTAAAAGGGAGCTGAGCGGAAAGAAAATGGCACATTAACTTCACTTTATAATCTGAATACAGTTATATTTGTAAAATAAATGATACAGCCCATAAGAAATCAATTTGTTTTTTATAAACTTTGAATGTAAGGATCTGGAATGTTACTAATAACAATTACGTTTCATATCTGTCATTTAAAAACACTTTCTTTTGCCAGGAATTAACTGTCACTGAGAGCCATTTGGGAGTCTCTATGTATGTTTAAGGGTCAGAGATATTTCAAAACAAAAGTCTTTGATGCTTCATTGAAAGGAATTTTTAAAACTAAGTGGCTCTGATAATATAGACATCAACTGCTCTTTCATCTTCAGCTGCTAAGGGGGTTTTAAAGTAATATATTAGCAAAATGTTATCTAAAACAACTGTTCCAGTTGTTAAGGTAAGCAGTGGCTGTGGCAGTGATTATAAATCTACTCTAATAAGGATATCTATAAATAACCAGAACTTTCAAATATGACCTTATAAAATGATACAGTATTAAATCTCATTCATTATACAAATTATTGACATTGCCACTAGGTTAACCTGCTGTCTTCTTGAAGCACTGCTGCATGCAAAAGATCCTGGCATGTGGGTCTGTTAAGCTGTTTGTTCAATGCACTTTCCTTTGCTTTCCATCTCTTGTTTTGATGTGGAACAAACACATAGGACTTCATCTACATCGACAGAGCCTCTCTGATATATACGACTTGCCTAAGATTTTTTTTTTATTTGCAGAAGTATTTCTGCAAATGTCCCTTCCAGAACAGATGTTTTCTTGCTGAAAATCATTCTTTTAAAGGTGGCATGCAACTGGCAGATGCAAGGTGGTAAGAAGTGGACATCAGTAGCAAGGATATACCTACACACACATTCATTGCTGAAAAGCAAGCCAAACAAATGCAAATGTAATGAGGAGCTCAAACAGCTGATCCCCAGTTCATCAGCATATTTCATATTCTCATTTTCTGTTTATACACTGTCTATTTTTTCCTTACCTGGGGTAGATTTGGAGCCAGGTTTTTGTGTGAGGCCACGGGCTCTGATGACTTCTACTTCTAACTGGCCTTTTTTGTCCACCATTCCAATCTGGATGTCACCTGACAGGGAGAAGAAAGCAGACCATGTTTTAGAGAAGCACTACAGCCCAGGAGATAGGTGAGAAACAGAAAGACTAGTTTTCTGCTAGTCTGCTGCATCAGAGTGCTTGTCACCTCTTTTCCTGATCCATTTAATTTCTCCATTCTTAAAGCAGGGCTAAAATATGTATACTTAGGGTGCACGGTGCCCTTTCTTCTTGTATGGTTTATACAAGAGCACAGTATTTTTGACCCATGGAGGCATGCAAATTTACAGCAACACTATGGTATAACCACCACACCTGTAATTTTGCACTGGTGAATTCTCTAGAGACTTCCTACCTAGGATTTGCCCCAGTGTGCCAGTCATTGACATGTGCAGCCCTGAGAGGAGTCCCACACTCAGAGAACCCAAACCCCAAACTCACGTTCAGAAATCCCTTCAGCTGGAAGTTTCTGCCTCCAAGCTGAGAGCAAAGAGCTAACAGTACAAAGGGTTCGTGTCTGATGAAACAGGAAGGAGGACTGCTGGTGGAGGCTAATGTTGAAACCACTTTCTTTAACTACAAGTGCCTGACTAGATCCTCAGCATGAGTCAGAGGCACCAGCCAGAGTAGGCACACAGTCATAGCAAGGCTTCAGAGAATGATGGCCAGCACCCCAGGAGCTCAGAAGAGTTGGTTTTTTTAATCTGAAAAAGTCTCCAAAAAGTACAGGGGTGACAATTTTCCCTTTTTTAATCAATATTCCACACACATTTTTTATGTGAATAAAATGAAGCACCATGTTAAAATAAGAAGATGCTTTTGCTACTAAACAGTTAAACTTGTTTCCCTTCCTAAGTTCTGACAAATGACATTAGCTGCAGAAAAAGGAAATGGCTTGCTCTGAAACCAAGCACTGTTCTGATCTAGGTCAATAAAATGCAAGGGAAGTCAACTACAGGGCAATGCTCAGAGCATTGTATCTCTGTGGTTTTATGTATCATGGAATCAGCTGGGTAGAAATGTAACAGGCCATGTAGAATAACAAATTAACCATATAACATGGTCAGCTATGTGATGCCGTGCAGATAAATGAACTATACATATATCCATGAAGCAAGTGAGTCTGTATTTGACATGTAAACCCTGATTGTCTGAAAAAAAAAAAGAAACCAGTCACAAAGAGTCCTAAACGATAGAATTTGGGGTCTGGATTCAAAGAAATAGCAGTTTGAAATTAACTAGGCCTGAGATTTTCATATGCTTGTCTAACAGTGTACTGAAGCAGTGTTTATACCCCAGTACTTGAGGTATGACAAAGCAGCAGGGAAGATTGATTTTATCAATTGGACTTTGCTTGAATAAACAGAGCTCTGTGTTGCACCAAGAATAGCTCACAGAAAAATTCCAACAAGCCTTTTGAAGAGCCCATCTCTGTATTGCATATCCAAAATGAAACATGCGACAGGGAACCAGAAGGGGGAGCGGTAAGACAAACATTTTCAAATTGTCACTAGTGAAAGGATACCACATAGAAGGTCTTCCAAAAATTGTTAAAAAGCATGACTGAGTGCTTTTGGGTGTGCCAAAATTGAGCCTTTAATAAACAAAGAGTTTGATTACTCAGAAGTGAAAATAAGCATATTACTCTAGTAATCTGCAGAGAAGTAGTCAGAAAAGATTAAAGTAGACAGAAGAAACCTAGACCCTTACATTCATGCTGATAGAGCCACTTAGATTCTTACTGGAAAAATCATCTCACATCATCTTTTATCTTTTAAAATAATAAAAACTCTGACTTTAATAAGTTTGGTGCTTATTAAATGCATTCATAGCAGTCATTTGGACTTAAACAGCAGCCCTTGCCCTAGGAGGTAATCAAGGCATTCTCAAGAAAGTATCTGTCTCCTTCACTCATGATTTGGGAAGGAAACACTGTCTTCTGCAAGTTTTTTCTTTCTGTTTCTCTCTCCTTCAGAAGCACCTCAGTAGCCCTTCCTGAAACTGATTGTCCCAAGACAGCTGTACTAAAGCATTGGCCACTTATCATTTCCAGCAGAGGAAGTATCATTAAAGTAGTGGATGAAGGACTCCTCACTCAGCATCCTAAAGAAATACTTACACAGTGCTGCACTGTTGTACACCTTATACACTCCCTTCATAACCAAGATACAGCTAATGCTGCTATAGGGAAATACCAACTGGTCTGAAACACAGAGAAGATCACAGAGAGACACAGGCAGCTGCTGTAGAAAAGGATTTTGTCTCTTTCATGACAAACGCTGGCTTTATCAACAGCAACTGGTTATTGGTCATTGCAAATGTGGGGAGAAGTTTCGCATTCTGGGGTGAAATGAACTAAACTTGGACACTTGGCAGAGTTTGTCCAGAAACTGCCTGTCACATCCAATGTAATCTGTAGCAAGCAAATAGAAACTCTGAATAGCTGAGATTTTGTAAAGAGCTACAACTGGAGAAACCACAACTATTTTGAGTGGCAAGTAAAATGCAAGCCCTATTTCCGAATTGCAAATGAAATTAGCTGACATCTCAAATGGAGCAAATACTGTTTCTTACCCCATTTTGAATGCTAGCATGCTAGGACTACCAGTGAATCATATAAGACCTTCATGTTTACACTGAAGGAAGCCACTCTGTAAAAGTGTTCTTGGTGCTGTAGTCTCGCAGTGTGTGCATTAGTGGCCTATTATTCATTTAACAGAGGAGAAAATTATTCTTACCCATGGCAGGAGTTGCTAGTGTTTGTCGGCCTACTAACTGCGCAGGTCCAAGTCCATCGAGGAAATCACTAAACTGACTGTCAGCGCCCAGTCGTACTCCAGGAAATATTAAACTGAAGCAAAATAAAAGCTGGTTAAGCATAAGAACAGGATTAATTTCTACTGTCCTACAGTATTTACCTCAAAAGTACTACTGATATAAGTCAAGCAGCTCAGGATGTGCAACCACAAATTGTTCTGCAGCATCAGGTACGAGCTGTTCCCCATGGGCCCCAAAGAAGTGTGGTAGAGTTCTGCACATGGACCCAAAGTAGTCCATAAAACAGTTCTTGCAAGGGAGTTCTTCAGGAGCAGTGAAGAGCCCGACAGGTGAATAAACTATAAGTGACCTTGTATGAGAAAACATAAAAAGCCTCACAAAATTTAACAGCCTATCATTCTTCATTCTTGAATGCCTGATTTACCTTGTAATACTGTTTTATATCTATACATACATCCAAACACCATCCACATCATTTAGAACAAACAGGGAAAACAGATGTATACACTAAGTTAATCTGATTTCTACAACTGTTTAATGAAGCAGCAGATAGTTAACTACTGGCAGGTAGTACTAGTGCTGATTAGAGCTAAACCTAATGCTACTCCCTAGCCAAAATATTCTGGTAGCCACATCTGAGTCTATTGTTGGTACTTGTCCCTCTTTCAGGACACAAACTGAAATGTAATACATCACCACACATAATATATGGAAAGATTTAGCATCAGGTTGAATGGGGCTCTGAGCAACCTGACTGAGTTGAAGACGTCCCTGCTCATTGCAGGGCAGGTGGACCACACTGGACGATCTTTAAAGGTCCCTTCCAATCCAAACTACTCAGTGACTTTATGAGATGTGCTTTTTCAAGCTTGTTTCTTGTATTCCAGAATCTCCATTTTCTTTTTAATAGAGTCTCCAAACAGTAACCAACGAAACAAGCAGAACAAAAAAGAAAATAAACAAACCCCAGAGATAAAGAATGATCCATGGTGTGGAGGCTCAGCTTTTTTGGGGACCTCCACATCACAAGGAATGGAAGAGCAGACTTTGAACCAAGCCTAGATAGCATGGCCACCAGACCATCCACCACTCGGTATCTGCTTCTTCCTCAAAGAAAATTCCCTGTTAGACTGAAGAAAATAACAGCACTTCCTAATAAAAACATCTAGTGTGAAAAACTTTGATTTCCACTGATCAGGCTTATGTGCTCCAGTCATAGAACACTAAAAGCTCTTTGCAAATCCCAGCTAGCTTTATAGGAAAAACACTTTCTTCTCTTCAAGACTAACTGCTTTTACTATGCCTGTATAAATGCACAGACTGGCTGTAACTAAAGCTGGCCGGAAAATACCAGCACAGTGCTTTTCGTTACAAAACTGATTTACCAAAAGGTCAGCTTTTCAGTGAAGTTTAGTTTTAAGAACTCTTTCATTTAAGAAGGTTTCTTTGGATAGAGGAGGAAAAGAACCTCAAGGTCTCCAGTCCAACCATCAGCCCACCAATTACAAGATTCTCTGCATCTAAACATTTTTTGTTCACTGTGATCTAAACCTAGAGCTGCTGTAAACTAATGTTATTATACCAAAATCATCCAAGTTTGCAGAGCATCTTAGGATTCGATGTACAGCTAAATCACAGAACTCAGAAAAACAGAAGATATTTGTTATATTATAGACAACCATATAGTGCATTTACACTTGCATTCCCAGTTTCCCCTTGTGGGAAGGTATCTTCTAAGAATTTCCTAGTGACCACTGTGCCTTGGCACAAGCAGTTGAGTCCCACTGAGAGCTGCGAGGATGCTGAAGTATTCACACACATTTCTGTGTAAGATCTGCCTTTGTTCTCCTACATACTGAGTCATTCAGCAGTGAATGAAAACAGCTGCCCCATTACCCTCAGTTGTCTGCCTGATTTCAGCTGATGGGGCAGCTTGACTCTGGGTTTACAATCCTCAATAAGAGACTTGGATCACCTCCAGACTAAACCTTCTTTGTTTATAGTATTACTGAACAGAGTTTCATATCACAGGGATTTACATACATTTGAAGTCTAACTTTGAGTTAATCCAAACATAACTCAAAGAAAAAGTACCCCTTTGTTTTGTTTTGAATAACGTGGTCTGAATTTAGCTGTCTTTCGTTGGACAAAATGCCTCACTGGATGACAGGGAAAATGTCAATCCTTAAGAAATCCTCTCTAAACCTCAGCTTTCAAGAAATTTGTGTTATGTGCCTAAAATAGTTAAATTTTGTAAATGTTTCAAGGGGAAGAATCTGTATACAGAACTATCCTCTTCAGCCAGAGCTGGGACCTCTGCTCACATCCCAGGTTTTCTTACAAAGACAAGAAACATCTCCTACATTACTAATATTTATAATGTCACTTACTTGCCCTCTGAGCTATAACTGTTTATGCTGCCATCAGTGGATTCCCGACTTGGCTGTCGAACCATGCGACTTCTCATCTCTGCTGCCATTCCTGTCTCTGTGCTTCTCTGTATCGTGCTCTTTAGCTTCTTGCTGCCACCCTCTGAAAGCAGAGAAAAGGAAGCAACAGTTAGAATGACAACTTAGAGCAAAGCCTTTCCTTGCAGCTTTCCCCCAACAACGATCTGACTTGATGATAACTATTTAATAATACAAAAAGACCATTCTGATTGAAGAATGACTCTTTCTTCTACAGCTGCAAGTTGGCGATGGCTTCTCCTGGAATGTAGACAGGATAACCGTGATTGTCTGCTAACTATGTACTTGGTAAGGTGTCTCTAGACACCTTATTAGTTAGGTTGGGTGAGTACAAAAGAAGTTACAACTCTCACAGAAAGAAAGAGGGGAAAAAAAATCTTTCATGCAATCCACCAAAAAAAAATGTTAAGTAGTAAAATACCTAGTATCAAAATATGCAATAATGTGTTTTGACTCAGCAAAATCTTTTCACCACAGAAATTCTTCAAAGTAAACAGTGAGATTTACATAACTTCTGATCTCAGCATTTCCTAAGCAGAATTAACTGTCAGAGAATTTGTCTGCAAGATGACAGACTCCGCAGTCCAAGCTTGCAATTGAACACTACAGAGTAATGCAGATCTTGTGAATTTGTTTAAAGGCTTGATCTGTTTGGAAAAGCTTCCATCACACATTCTTTAAATATGCAATTTGGTTCCAAGTGGGAGGTTTTGTTTTACCGTTGAGCCAGGAGAGCTTCCAGTTCTTTACAGGGGTGGTTATGAGCACAAGGTGCAATAGCTGATCTACAATGAGTTCTGCTGTCACATGGTAAACATTATGCTTCCAATGGTAATAATTGTTCTCAAAGATCTTTAACTAAATACTTCCAGTGAAGGCTCTATGTGACGTAATAGCATGTGTTGACTTCAATCTTGTTATCAGTTCAGTTATTGTTCAATGGGTAACATTACTTTCTCTCAGGAAGTAATAGCTTCATTTCTCTCAGGAAGTAATAGCTTACAAAGCTTCACCTAAGTGCATACAAAAACGTTCTCCTGCATTTGCCCCTTCATTTACATGCTCCTTCATTTGCTGTCTGCAAAGTCTGCACTTCCTTTTCACAGCCTGTGCAGGGCAGCATCTGAAAAGGTACAAGTTTCTTCCACCACCACCTCCTGTGGAGACTGAAGTGCCCTGAAAAATTTCTTACCTTCCTGTTTCACATGAACAACGCTGATGCTTGAAGCTGACAGATCTCGATCTTTCTTCACATGAAATTTAAGCTTTGATAGTCCCTGCACAGCCTATCCTTTGCTCAGGGTATTCCAACATGCTGTGGAGAATAGCTGGCCCTTGCTGTCTGGGTCTGCAGAGGTGGTAGAGGGCAAGGAGAAATCACACCAGAGAGCTTCTTCCCTCCCGTGAGTTACCACAGTAACCTCCTTGGTGCTAGCATAGACACGGCAAACATGGCCAAAGTGAGAAAGAAAGAATTCATATATTGGGCTTAGAGGAGACATCACCAGCACAAAAGGGGCTGTGGTTTTCTTCTTAAGCTTCTTGGACCAGGGACTCTATCCATGGCCACCCAGAAGCAGGGAAACAAATGCCTATGAGTGGAAGAAATCAGCTACTTCCACAGATCCTTTACCCCTTCTGAGTCCAGCTGCTTGGAGGTTCCCTTGTAGGCCACTGCAGCTCATCCAAACTCCTGGTCCTTGGTCAGCTGAAAACACATTATTCAGTGCTGCTAAATGCGAGGCAAAGGAGGCTAGACAAGGTGCACCAGGCAGACCACTCCCTAGGCAGTGCAGGTGACTGTGGGATGGTATTTGCTGGAAAGTTGGTGACTCTGTAGAAGTGAAATGCTGCATTTTGGATCTGAGCTTTATCTTTAAAAATAGACCATGTGTCCATCATACCAACCCTGAAAAGTGAGCTGAGCATCAAAAATGAATCAAAATTCAGCCTAGGAAGTATAACCCACATGCACAGCCCTACAATAAATTAGGATTCTCTCATTTTCAGTAGCTAAGCATTCGTCACCCATATTGTTTTGTGCCTCTCTTGCTGAGACCTGCCTAAAAGTGTCTCTGTTTCCATCTGCTCCTACAAAGCAGGTAAGAGTACGTGGTTTACCTCCTATTGCCTTTTCTGGAGCCAGCCAGATCAGGCAGCATGACCGGAAGGATATAATATGGTAGAGCTTGACATGTGGGTAGCTGAATAGGGTTGCCTGTGAGTATTCATGGCCCAGGAGGTAGGAGTGATGAGGCACTAAAGGTAGCCACAAGATCATCATGACCTTTACACAAACTGGACCTCCAGGGAAACATGGTGTGTGCTGAAATTTATGGACTAGAGCCAGGCTGTTGGGAAGGCATAATGAAGAAAACAGTCATAGAAATAATCACTGTAAAAAAAATAAATTACAGAAATCAATATGTTTGCTCTAAGCCACTGTAAAGATTGAAAATAGCAAGTATTTTGGTTGTTTTTTTTTCCCAAAAGAGTAATTTTATACTATCAGAGATAACATCCATATTGCAGCTTGAACATACTTCTCTGCTCCACAGGTTTTAAATGCACAGACCACAAAGTAGGAATCCTCATGCATGAACATAACCAAGTCCACAACCGTGTCTTGCTGTGCTGCAAAAACCAGACTGTTTTTCCAAATACTTTTCCAGTCACTGCTCTCTGTCTTACTGCACTGGATTCCACTTCTTTATTTCTCATCAACTTTTCTTTTTTTCAGGTTAAAGATTAAAAAAAATTCTTTTGTCTCCTCTTCTAACTGAAAGTAACATCCGTAATATTTCCTGGGGTAAACAGTCCTCCTGAATATTTCACTTTATAGCCTCAGTTTTAATATTCTGGAGTACAATCAGAATCATAACATAAAAGTAACTCAAAGTAACCCTGCAATACAATCAGAATAATAACATAAAGTAGCCCAACAGAATGGTAAAATACATGAGGAGTTTTATGGAGTAAAGGAAACTGCTTTTGCCCATGAGTAACAACCGAAACACATATTGCACAGTTTTAACCTTTTGGAAGTTTTAACCTTGGTCATTTACGCATATCATATTTTTGTCCACTTGTAGCACAAAAAGCAATGAGAACAGTGTATCTTGTTGGTGTACTCCTGTAAGCTTCTCAGGAAAACCAAATTCTGCAAAGGGAGGAAGGTGCTTAGCATGCAGCTGAGCTGGGAACTGCTGTTATTTCTAAAGGTGCTTCAGAAACATGAACTCTCTCTGGGGTACAACTTCCAGCCCTGCTCGACTGCACAATGAAACACATGATTCAAACAATTACCAGTGTTCCTCCTGCTCTTGATAATGTTGTTTTTTGTTGTTGTTGTTGTTGTTGTTGTTTTTGTTTCATTTTAATAAAAAAATTTTCATTTTGTATTACTTTCAATCTAGCAGTTGTGCATATACCTTTGGAATGCTGTCTTTATATGGACAGTACAAGTTCTTAAGCTCAATATCTATGCTATGATACAGTGAGAAGAATTTCTACTCTTGCCTGGATATCTTCTGGAGAATATTGGGTCCTCATCCTGATTTTTATTAGTTTGATGTGTACAGTTAAATTTTATAATATGCACAGCTTATAAGCATTTTGCAGCTCACCAACAGCACTTGTTTCTGTTAAGCGGCACTCCTGCTACAACACACAGATGACAGTGTGCAATGCACTGTTTCAGTTTACTTGTAATAGCCTATAGTGACTGCTTCTTGGTCTGACAAGAAACTGGTTACTGATTTTGTTTTTCAGGAAACAAAATGTTCTCTGCATATTAATGGAGGTCCTTATCTAAGTAATGATGAAGAGCAAAAAGAAGGCTTGTTAGTGTATGCACTATTTTACATTTGTACAAGATATCAACGTAGTTGATGTGTCACCAATTTCTGTGCATCCTATCACCTTCAAGTATAGCATCCAGGAGCAAAATGCTATTGACAACTGAATTATATTAGCAAGAAAAGGTCAGTGACAGTGTCTATGGAATTGAGACAGCCTACTAGAGATAACTCAAGGCTAGCTTTACATTTCTAAGGGCATCCAATTCAGAGAGGACAATGGCCCAAAATTACTTGTATCCATAACTGCCCTTAGCAAAGACATGACTGCACAGGACATCACCATTGACCTGGCTTCTCCCCTGGGCTCCATGTGGTGCCTGGAGGCAATTACTGCATTTTGCTTTTGTTAAGTAAGTCTGAAATAACAGGACGGGCTGTGCCATGACCTGCTGGAGTAAAGCTTTTATCCTGTGATGCCAAGGTGTGTATTACATGCCATAGGACAAGGCTAGGGGATATACAAGAGCATGCAAGGACACAAGATCAGCAGCTTAGTCAATAGAACAGTGTTAGAGGCTTCTGTAGGGTGGAAGATGACAATCCTGACATGGTCTGCTACATACTGCCTATAGGGAGAGGTGCCTTGAGGACTGTCCAGACTCATGCCTGGGGGTCTCTAGTTGGTTAGTGCCAAAAAAAGGAGCAAGTTTATATACGTGCAGCACCTGGGTATGTGGCATGGAAAATTCGTGACTGGGTCAAAAGAATGCTCCAGAGAACAGTGCATACACTACTGCTAAATCCACTAATGAAAGGGGTAAGAGGGGTACTAATATTCAATGTCATCGCATGACTCAAGGGCAAATTATTCACGATACATGCTCATGCATGCTCATGCATCCAAAGAAAGCCTACAAGGACTATAGATCCAAGTCAGCTCTGACTGAAACCTGGCAGGACTGTGACCATACTGTTGGTTTGCATACGGACTGTGTGAGACACCACCAAGATTATGCCAACTGAAACAAAAAGGGTCACCCTGCAAAGAACTATGAAAAGCAAAGCCAAGGGGCACATATGATTCTATGATTTCCTTCTGGTCCTTTCTGACGTGTTACTGATTTTACAATCCCAAATTTAGCTCTTGGAGACCTGCTGAGTTACAAGTTCTGCAGCATCCCACTCACTCTGCATGCAGCACTTTTAAACAGCAACAAAATATATTTACACATGAATTGACAAAGTGCCCTGTGGCTTACAGTTC